CCGCTCCCCTCAGGTTGGGGCAGGGGAAGCGGCAGAGGCGGCAATGTCTGCCTCGTCGTGTCCCTGAGTGTCTTTGTCTTTCTTCCAAAAGCACAAAGCCAAACATTTCCGTAGCTGCTCGCTGCCCCGTTTAAGAGAACGGGTGGTAACACACACCACAGCCTCTCAGGATCCTCTGCTCGATGTTGAGGCAGTCGGTCCTAACTGCCTCGTGCAAACACGCGGCCTTTCCTGCCTTCGTCGCGCAATGCCTTACCAGTGACCGCTGGATCCAGAAGTTGAAAAATTTTCCAAATTAATAGGCTGTGTGACAGCTAGGTGCACCTCCAACTGCCCGAACTGAATTAGGGTGCAGGAGGCCATTGCTGAGGCATGGAGGTGCGGGTTTGATGCAGTAATGAGATACACAGCGCTTGCCATGCCTCGCTCTGCACGGAAACACGGCCTGGCTACGCGCTTCGCCTGTCTGACAGTTCTCATCCCGGCTGGCATTAAACGACTGAGCCGGTTTTAACTAAACTTGACAGAAGGATGGGGATTTCAAAGATGCTAGTTGTTCCAGCTGTGTAAAAATTACTAGCTAGGTGGAAGGAAGATTATCTCAAAGAAAGACAGCTCATATTCTCCAGGTTACTGTGTGGCCAGGCCACACACACACAAATGCCCAAAAGTAGCAGTGTCTAAAGCTTATGGTGTCCCAGAGGGATGTGCAGACAGATCATACATGGGCACTCTGAACTCAGAGACAAAACTAAAATCTGCTATCACAATAGCCTTAAAATAGATACACCCCATCAGCTTACTGCAGACTTCTTGGAAGCCGCCTTCTGTAGAATCTGATGTATTCCAGAGGTTAATACTGTATCAGCCTGAGTTTGGATGGATTCCTACAGGGCAATATCTATTCTGACCTTGGGCACTACCATCAGTGGTGATAGTGTGTATCAGAAAGAGACAGATACATATAGTACTTGAAAAGGCCTCCTGCTGTTTTCCAGTATTTTCTCCATTTCTTCTGGGCAGATAGGATGGGTGAACACCATACAACACTGAAAACAGGAAAATATAAATAACTGATATGGAAGACACTTAAGGGGGAATACAAATTAGCGAAAACAAAGTAGAGCTAAATTACTAATGGATTACATATAAGACATAATGTTTTCCTTTTAAACTCATACCTATGATTTTTTGTATCCTATTGCTTCTATTATACCATACTGTCAAAAAAATCAGAGTTCATTTTGGTTTGATTTGATTGCATGAAAGTGATACATTTAAATATCATACTAATAAATTTATATTCACGGCAGCTTCATTCAAACTCTTTCTATAAAATAAATACTGTATTTGCTTCCACTTGCCTTACTCATCTTCTGAGCTAACTAGATGACAAGAAGAGCATTTTGAGTTTGTAGGGCACTTCTTATTTAAATTTCAACAGTAGTACTTCATTTGGGTAGTGCTCAATATTTAATAGCTTGTGGGAAAAACAACTTCAGAAGGCATCTTTCTGAATTAATATAATCCTTTATACTGTATTACTCTATATTTGAGTCAAGTTTGTTTTTACATATGCATTATTTACAGTATTTTTATTCAGAACATTTCAGAAATGTTCTCACAGTCTCATCTATAAGAAAAATTTATGGAATGTCATGGTGGTTGTCAAAATTAAATATTTCACTTTTAACTGGAAAGTTTAGCTGAAAAATTGTGACTATGATGAATAGAAATAGCAATGGCTCTATCCAGTCTTCTTGAACAGTAAAATAGATATAGAAATAGAAAGAATAGTAAAATGCAAACTGAAGACACTTGACAGATTGGCAACACATCTGTCATCTTTTAAGAACACAGCAGCAATGATAATATGAACAACTCATCCTCAGTTCATTGTACTTAGTATATCACTGATTGCCAGATCAAAAACTTTAGATTGTAATGATCAAATCAATAGTCTATTAAAGTCTGAAAGGTTGTCTATTACATAACATTATCATCCACCTAGCCCCATGCAAAAGTATATAAATAAAACAATAAAATCCCCCTAACTGACTCGTGGTTCTGACTCATATTTATAATGAGGGTCTGACTCATTTTTAAAAAATCTTCTTGGCCAAATGAGAGCAAAATTCCTTCACAAAGATAATTGATTTACTGTTTAGCAGGTATATGAAAGTGGTTATTAAGGGGTTCTTAAAGCAAAGCTACCACAAACATATAAAATAGTTGTTTGGTTTTTTTTCTTATTGTCATTGCAGTACCTGAATTTTATCTTGAGCGTATTTGAATGAATCATCCTCATCTATGCCCATGTAAGAACAGAATGTGGCTTTCTGCAAGTTAATGTAGTGAGAAGTAAAAAGGTAAGTCATTATAAGAAAAGGAAATGAATAGATGTTATTTTGCATAATGTCTGCACTAAGTTAAAAGCTAAACCAGGAAGGAAGTTACCATCACTGTGCTAGATGGGAGTGCTTCAGTGACATGTGCTTGCTTTTGAGAAAACCAGTAGTCTTCAGATTAGCACTAGGAATAATTACCGTGTTTATTTTGTGTTTACCCGAATTTTTCAAAATCCATGAAGGTGAGTGATCAGCTTTTAAAATAACCCTTTATTTATTCTGAAGTCTGCAATTAAAGTGTTGCCACGTGCTTTCTGAAAAGCAATGCTTAGGATGCTGCACACGTGGAATTTGCACAGGATATAGACTATTTTTGTTAGATTTTTAACCAACAGAATTAATTATATGCAGTAATTTGAAGTGAGTTTGTAATTAATTTACATACACTGCAAAATTTTTGGTAACTATTTCCATGTAGCAGCATTTTTACTGCCTTCATAATGAAGAAACTAGTTAAAGTGCTTATGTTCTTTTATAGCAGGTGCTCACATCTTCAAAAACAACTTTTTAGAAGTTTTTATACTTAAATGCTGTAAATTTTTCTATAATTACTATCTGGTAATGAGATGCTGGCTGTGAAAGAGATATGAAGTGGTAATCTGACAAAAAGTAGAGCAGACTAGATCTAACTGAGTAAAGCAAATCTTGTAGCATAAATGCCAAATACTTCTTTGTGATCCTAAAGGCTGATACTGGATTTAGGATAAATGCAAACTATGCATGTGTGCAAGTTACTCATTCAGTGCTTTTTTTTAAAGTCTATGAGTAAATTGATTTTAAAATAGTTTTGTCATATCCATTCCTAAGAAAGCTTTGTATTTGTAAATAAGTATTATATTAAAAAGCACCCCTTTGACAAAGAGTGTATTCTCAGGCATAATAACATAATTTCTTTATGAAGCATATAATTTTCTGAAAAAAATTACTATCAAAATATCCAGATTAGGTTACTTATATTTTTTTATTAACCATGAAGAATGGTCATATCAGTAATTAGAATATAATGTATAGGTTCTTATAGTTTATAAATGAACAAACTTGGTAAACTGTCATAAGTTTTGAATATCGTAACATTTATAATTCAGTTTAAGATGTTGGAATAGTTAATATTTTACCTCCATGCAAAAGTGAACAAAGTATTTGTAGCACAGATTACGCAAATAAACATTTACAGGACTATTATCAGAAGAAAACATTAACCTTAGTGTCAAACATCGAAGAGTAATTACATTTTTCCATAACAGTTTTTCCAGATTGCTCTTATTGGCCATGCTTTAGACTGCAATAGTGTGATCACTGCAATTCTGTCTTAGTCACAGCATGTCTAAAATAAGATTGTGAAGTATATGTGCAGAGCAGAATTATAGTTGGAGCAGCACAGATTTATATTTGGAAAATTAGACTTATTGCTGCATTTGGGATGTTTCAAAAACTAAATTACTATATAACAGGCTGTGTAATGATGTCTGAATTACATTAGAAAGTAAATGTGTTGAACAATTTATTCAAAATCTCTAAGGATTTTGGGTCTTTGGTTGATCAAAAACCTTCTGTTAAAAAACGGTTTTATTTCAGATTTTGTGACAAACCTAAAATGTACAGAATTTTTTGTAAATGTTTCAAATTTCTGAGGCTTCAAAACCATGAGGCTTCAGCAGACAGAATTGTTGGAAATCTTTGAGATGTGAAATATAATCACTGGCTCTTCCATTGCAAGTTCCTAAATGAATGTCAGAGAGCTCCTAATTCCTGAATGTCTTATCCCAGGGGAAGTTCCAGCATTGACTTTCATTCTGGAGAGGGAATAAAATGGAAATTTCTCATTATACAAAAATCTAGGGGGAAATCAATTTGCAGAAAAAAAATACTTTAATTTTTTTTTTGAAGAACACAGTTCAGCATTACCAGAAGTGAAATGTTTCTTTTCTATTTGTAAAGCAACCCACTTGTTTGGCTACGAGTCATTGAACCTTTAAATTACACTGATTTAGAGTAGGAGGTTATCCTTTTGGTGTCTGATGCTTTCAATCCCAGTCCTATCCCTTGAGTCCTGCTACTTTATGGAGTGTATCTCCTTTAATCTATCAATTGTGTATTCCCCAACTTGTATCTGTAGAAGGACTACAGCTTCCATAAGGAAGTGATAAAAAATGCAATATACAATATACTGTATACACTGCTGCTCTGACTTCAAATAGAATACTGCAGATCAAATGAAAATGAGTCAAGCCTATGCAAAGTGAAATATTGGTGATATGCTTAATGGGAAGCAAGGTTTTTACTAATTTTCATCTTCCCTGTGAATAACTTCATTTTAATGGATTTAGATTTTATATGAAAAACCACCCTGTAAATAGAGGTTTTATAGAATAATTTAATAATCACAGAACTTCTTAATATTAAGCATAAGGTTGCAGGTCTTTGAATATAAAACAGTTTCCTAGAGTTACTTTGCATGGTTTCATCTCAGCAATCCTTTTTTACTATTCAGGCTGCCTATGTTCACATTTCACAAAACCGCTTCCACATTTCTAGGGTGATGTTTACATTTGGGAGGGTGCTTCCCAGTCCTGCAGGAAGGAGAAATGAGTATGGTATGGCTCTCTGCTATGTAATCCTCTGGGAAAGTGTAGTGTTGTTTTGGCCTTTCTTCAAGTGTCAAACAATCTATATCCCTCCTTAGAAAGGCTTTAGTCCTGTGACAAAGGCCTTAGTCCTGTGACAAGTTTGTTTATGCTAGGTCGTCATTTGATTTGCTTTCTCAGTAGAGGCCTTTCAAGAGGATGGTAAGCACCCTCCCTAACTCAACAACAGTCACACCTTTTCTACTCCACACCTACAACACGGCTCACAGGCAGCTCTGGAATCTGTTTAGCCATTTGTGGAGTTCAAAATGGACTTTGCAGTTGAACATAGATGTCTGTCACAGTCCAGTCAGCAGATTCCCAAGTCCATGTGCAGACTTCTTGGTGAAAAGGATTTGTTATGAATTATGATTAGTTGGCCTTGAAAGCTGTAGCAGTGTTTTAGACTGGTTGCCCAGGTGCCATGGTTTGCCATGAGAGCAGAGTAAGCATTCAATTTTTCCTCCGGACTCATCTCCACAGACAAGTTCTACACAAAATGCCTCTTTCGGGTGGAACAATTCATTCTCAGAAGCCTGCTCCATGACCTGTTGTCTGGGTCAGATTGTAAGCATTTCAAGGAAAATACTTTGTCTTTTCTCAGGGAAAGATCAAGTCCTAAATTTTGTCTGATATTTTTCCTTTTTATATTAAAATTAACTTTTTCTTACCTGTGTGCTTTACATTTCAATTTATTGTGTTTTATTTCTGTCTGTTTACAACTCTCTGATGTAGTGTTAATAAAGGGATGATAATTGACTTTGACATTGGAGCTTGGATTTTATTTCTGTATTCTGTCTGGAATCTCTTACTGAACATTTTCTGAGGCCAGCCTGCTGCTCTGTGAGCATGGGTGGCCTGTTGAAGCCATCAGAGTGCAGCTGAGCACTGGAGCAACTAAAGACTGCACTTTGCTCTCTATACATAGGGATTTAAGATCACATTGCTCCAGTTGCTCATAATGGGAGGTAGATAAAAATTTTTCTCTGTGTAGAGATGCAAGGGTACTACTAGAATTGGAAACATAGCTATAAAACTATAGGTTAGTGCTGCATCAGCTCTGGGAAGTGGTTATTCATAAATACATATTTCATGTCGGGGTCACACAAATTTTTTTATTCTTGATTTTTTTGTATGCTGGAAAAGTAGTTCAAGGTTAGCACAAGTAATAATTTGCATGATAAATCTCTACTGTAATGTGGAAGACAAACCACACTTATTTATAAATAACTATGTGGTTTTTGCTGCTTGCCTTGCCAGAATTGCATTAATGTACTCTAACTACAGTACTTTGATAATGAAATTTGACTATGAATACTAAACCCAAAGGTCATAATTAAAATCCAATGTTTGTTGACTGAATATAAGAGAATGTGAAGGGTGTGGCTAGAGGATTCAGCAGCATTTCTGTGTATTTTCACTCTGTGGTTTCAATGTCATTTGGAAAGAAAGCTTTCATTCTGATTATAGATACTTTACAACATAATTGCATTGGAGTGTTATAACTGCACTGTTCCAGGGCAGACTTCCCTCTCCAAACCAGTTTTCTCTTCTTTTGAAGAAGCATAAACGTGCTTTTTCTTCTTTTGAAGACCAGTCAATTTGGAGGAGCTTTGAAACGGGAATGAGACTAGATAACATCACAAATTCCAGTTACTATTACAAGAGTTTTAATGTAATTCAGCAAATAAAATCCAGGATCTAAGTTGTGGGAAGACCCTGTGCTTTCTTTCTCTTACATATGATGCATTCAACATTCTGTCATAGTTCTGAAGAAAAAAAAGTGCATTTCATCATAAGATGGTTGGAATATCCACTACATGATGATTCTACGCACATACTTGTCCATGTGTCCTATGTGATCGTCTGGCTAATATAGCACTCTTTCTTTTACAGCTAACACTGTAATGGTGTCATGCATGGATACCTGTTCATCAAGTAACATCACTTTTCCACTTTGTACTTTTAATAATTCTTATGAAAGATCAGTGAAACTAAGAAGAGAACACCAGACTATTTTGCTGAAGGTCACTGTAAATAATTCCAGTTTCCAGAATATTCCATATATTTGCCAGTCGTCCTGGAGGGAACAACAGTCCCACTCTGAACAGACAGAGTGTGAATCTAGGAGGGATGTGAATGTTGAACATCAAGGATCAGGATCAAAAGCTGAAAAAAGTAAGTAGGATAAGAGAAATATTTATTTTTGAAGTAGCTAATTACAAAATAAAAGACAAGTTCTTATTTGGTACTTAGAAGAAAATTATATGCTCCTGGTTCTCTATGGTCTTTGCAAGTCTGTGCAATGGGGGTTTTTAGCATGGGTAGAAAATACAGATTTTGTGTCAGATTCTCAGTGGCATTCATTCCTGACTGTCAGTGAAACATGTTGGTAGCAAGCACTTTCTAAAGTACTTAATTTATTCCTAAGGAGTTGTACCTTCTGACAATTTTTCAAGCTGAATTTGCTTTTAAATGTCATTGTGGAACTCTACATGTAGATTGCTGGCATTATGAAGATAGGTTGTGAGCAAGTATCTGAAGAACTAATTCAGTAGGTAACTATTCTGATGGCAACTATGTAAGAAATAACCATTTCTGTGTTTGCAGTCTACATTATCAAACTCTGTATAATATCAGAAATGGCCTTACAAGTTTTATAGAAAGCAACACTGACTAAGGAATGGCACAGTAATACAGAGGAGAGTTAGCAACACCCACATCTTTTCAGAGCAGTAGCAGCACGTTCCTTCTGCGCCATACACACTTCAAATATCTGCAAATCTTTGGGGAAGAGGATACCTCTTTCTAACATTGTCCGCAACAATAGGCCAAGTCCTGAATATGAGAAATTCAGTTATTTTCCAACAGCATAATTTCCTTATTAGAAAATAGCTGTATTAGCAAGTATGAAAAAGAAAAAGTTATATATGGACAACTGCTCTCAGTTATATATGTACAACTAACACTTTTGACAGTGTCTCACTTGTTTCTTGTAAACATAGCACAAGTCTCACAGCTTGTGTGGTTTGAAGCGAAGCAAGGACCTCCTGCAACTGATAGCAGATAGACAATGTGCACACTTCAAATCTCCATCATCATACGGCTTCTGCCTGGGTTCTATCCTTCTCATAGCCTGATTTTTGCCTGTTGCCTTTGACAACTGACAACAAAAACTACAACAAAAAAAAAGGGTGATAGTAAAGCAAAAAAGGGTTAGACTTTGCAGGAAAAGATTATACTTTGCTCTTCAGATCTGTTCAGAGTAACTTTACACAGTATACATTTATCCATCTTTTTCATAGTCAGTGATGTAGAAACCTGTATGTTTTTGCAAATGAGACAGAGAATTCACTGGTTTTTTTTGAGAAAAGTTTCTTGATCTACCACTTGAATAACAGTTTTGTTTTAATTTTTATTTCCAAAAGCAGAAGGCTCGTTTGAAGTGAAAACAGAAAATGTTACTTATTTTTATAAATATTTTAATTTCACTACGGTTTCCAAGAAAGAAGTGGAGCATAATACGAACTACGTGGTGGAAATCCACATTAACAATTCTATAGCTGGAGGACGAAATGCAGCCGATGAACAACTAAATCATTCTTGTCTCTTGGCAATGATGGAAGAACAAAATGACTGTATAAATATTTCACTGCAACTGAAGTCTTATATGGAATGTAAGTTACAAAGGAGAGTTAGAATGGAAATCAAAGTAGAAATCATATAATCTTGCAGAAAAACCTCATGTAGGTAGTTCTCTGCTTCCAGACACCATTTGAAAATATTTAAATATTTCACAAGAAGAGAGTACAATTTTGAACACCCCTTATTAAAAAACAATCCATAGTAGAAAACTGATGATTTTGATAATGATTTAAAGCAGGTTTAGCTGTGCCCTTTTTTTTCCTAGAAGAAATACAGCAAAGTAAAGATATGCACATTGTTTTTTGCGTAGCAGCAACAAACTCACACATTTCATGTGACAAAACTTGGAAATATAATTTTTCCTTTCCTGATAATGGCATAACTCTGCTGTCTTGGAGGTAAATTTAAAAGTCCCTGTTAACTATGGTAGTAAAAGAACCAAGAGGTAGGTTTGACCATTCTAACGTACTGCAATAGCCTCACTATAGTATGCTTAAAAGATCATTCTTCATCTGAACTAAGCTTAGTTTTCCCATATAAAAAAAACTTTCAGATTTTTATATTTCTCTTTGTGCTGCAAGTTTTTTGTCTGATTGCCTGACCATGGTAAGGGCTTCCATTCTCTCCATATGCAACACTTATCCTTTGGAAATTGCTGAATTATTGCATTCATTTGATTTTGCATGGAAAATGTATTTTATGTTGTACCTTTGCTGGAAAAAAATATTTTTTTATAGTTGGATTAATATATGTTAAATAAATCCAGGGAAAATCCTAGAGAAGAAGGGACAGTTTAGGATTGTTTTGGGTTTTTGTTTGTTTGGGATTTTTTAAAATAAGTGTGTCTAGCCATAAGAGGAACATAATTTGTAACTTGCCTTGCTAACTTGAGTCAATACTATGAGCTAACTACCTTTTACTAATTTACTTGGGTAGTAGTAATCTCATATTAGCAATGAAAATTAACAATAGGTCTTTTTTTTTCCACTTTAATTCAAAACAGCTAAAGAGGTGCTCAGGGCTTTTACTAAGACTGATAATCAAGTCTTTACAAGCCAGTACAAGATGGGGTAGAGTGCTCTGTTTAAAAGGAGCCTAGATTACTGTATAAAAGTTATTTTTAGTTCTAAATTAGGAGGAATGAGCCATGGGGTTGCTGGCATTTGCCTCATGCGTTCTTGATGGAGAGGATACAAGGGAAGTTAGAGTAAGTCTAATTATACTGTTCTAAGTCAGGGAAAGGGAAACAGTGGTTTGGCTGCAGTCTATAATTTGTTTTTTTTATGAATCATAGTAACATAGCTGTTTTTAAAAACAGTTATTTGACAGTGCTAAGGTATACATTAACATGCAGCTGCCAAAGAAGTTTGAAAGGCCATTCAAACAACCAGAGGGGAAAGTTCTCCACATCATTTCTTTGTCGTATATAGTCCTAACTTGTAGTAGTTATTGAACAAAATCCCTGTGGAATGTGGGTGCATTTCTGCAGCAGCTGTTGTCCAAAAGAGCAGCCTACCTCCTGCATCCAGTCCCATGTGATTCTCCCTAAAGGCAGCTTTAGTTAAAGGAATTCCCCAGAGGGCTCCTGTTGGTAGCATTTCCTCACTTTTTTATAAGAAAATTTATATATGTAGAATCTTGCCTTCTCTCATATATGAAGATGGACCAGGAGGTTAAGAGTGCCGGTACAGACCAATGTTGGACAATGGACTGATTTCTTCCATGGTTTATCTAGACAGAGGGGACATATATTACCCTTGTTCTACCTTGAATGTTGATCTTTGAAGCATTTTCACTGGCTGAGCTGAAAAGTTTTCATTCACTTAGTCATCTCTATTTCAGCCGTGGGGAGATATATAGATATATAGATTTAGATATTAAATTACAGGCAAAAATTAAGCTAAATTCTAGACAGGAAATCTAACATCAAAAAACAGAGAAGGCTGAAAGAAAAAGGCACAATCCTGTTTGTTTGTTTTATTTTGATCTGTGGAGATAGGCACAATCCAAAAACCTGCCAAGATGGAGTGTTCTGCTTTTCTCTGCTGCCAGTGATTTGCTGATTAATTTTGTCTCTTGTATATTTTATGGACAGATCCGATGTGTATGGTGAAGATCACTTGGCTCATTATGATTCCAGTAGTTTTTGTATTTACTGTTTCAATTGTCATCTACAAAATAGTCCAAGAAAATAAACAGAACTGTAAGTAAAGTTAATCTGCATGAATTTAACTTTCTATGCAAGTAAAAATATATTAATTTATAATAACGAAACTGTTGCTTATTACTGTATCTCAGACACTAATATTTTGATTGTCAAATGGTAAAAGCTTCTTAGAGACTGACTGAAGTACTCAGATAATTGATAGTATCACCTCTTTGGTGGATGCAAAAACTGTGGATGAAAATCCAAGCTTGTTGATGGCAAATTAAATTTTTGATAGATAATTGGTGGCTTAATTATATGAACTTCTGGTTTCACACTGATTTCAGTAGATGAAACAATTACTTAATTACTTACAATTACTCACAATTACTTAAACTTTGTGGAAGGTTTTAACCAGAAATGCCAATGATCAGTATAAGTGGACTGAAATACCCTTTCCTTCCTGAAGATGATTTATTTAGGTGACAGTCAGGAAAAATTACAGAATGGATATAAGGAGATATAAACTCATTTGTCTGTCTTAAATACTGGCTATTCAAATTCTTTGGTGATGTAATCTCATGCAGGGCAACCAAAGTGTGCCTTGATAAGCCCAGAGCTGAATTAAGCCCAGATAATATATCATCTCTTTGCTATTATTTCAGCAAACAAAACATTGCTGTGCTTTCTGAACCATCACTATTGACTATTCCAAGTCATTAGAACTTTGCTATGAGAGAACTTGCCATTAGTTCAGAGACTGAAACAATTGCTTCTATAATATTCCTTCAGCCAAGACAGGCTCTTCTCTTGGGATACAGGCTGAAATCAGATTTACAGTATTTTCTCTATCAATAGACAATGATAAAACAAGAATAATATTTTAGGAGTACCCTGAGCTTGAGACCTTTAACCAGTCAAGGTAAAGTCCTCTGCACAAAAACAGTGCCAAAAATTGACTGCTTGACAGATGCTGGTCCTTGTTTCTCTTCCCAAGTCAGAAGTAGGTGGTACCAGGAGCACATTACCTTCCATCACTGTGAAAAGAATATTACTTAAGCTGTTACTTGAGGGAATAACTCTTAGGTGCTTTTTACAGCAGTTTCCAGAGATATTCTGCTTGTGTCAGCCCTGAGTGGGCAGAGCACCTCCAGACAATTGGCATTTAGTTACTATTCCCAGCCAGATGTCCATTCACCCTGTAGTTCAGAGGTGCTAAAAGGAGCAGCACCCTGGTCACAGGGATAGCAAAACAAATAATAAACCATATCCATTCCCCTGATCATCCTTACTGTATGCACAGGTAATTTCTTAATGAAGGAGCAATAGAAGTCTAGCTTTAATCATAACTGACCAGGAGGAAGAGTAGTGCCCCCACACAAAATGTTTCTGTGATTTTTTTGCATACTGTGATTTTTATGCATATATTTTTAATGAATAAGCAAAGTAATTGCTTGAGATGTCAAGTTTGTACCTTCCATGCCCCAATGAAAGGAACTCCTTACCAGATTATGTTGCTTAAAATGCATGATATTTTACTTATTGCTAGAACAAATTTCTGAGACCTATTTCATGTATACAAAACCCCACAAAGTGTAAATTAGGACTTTATAAATGGGATATTAAGTGCTCTAATTTAAAGGACTTTTATTTATAATTTCAAAACTACTTATAAATGTCATGTCTCTGATTTTATATTGTCATAACATTATATTTTTAATGTAGAACTTTAAGTAGTGATGATTAATGATTTAGTACCTTTATTCTTAAAGGTATGACTTTTTTATTAAATTCAAGTTTTCAGAATCATCATGAACACCAGTAGGGAGGAAAAGATGCCCTTTTGAGGCTTCTAATTACTTATTAGCTTCAAGGATACATTTTCTGCTAATTGAGGAAAAGTGGGTTTATGAGTTAAATTTATAAGATATAACATTATAACCAACATCATTATGTCACTGATAAAAAGACAAGTGCATAAGAAATAAAACTTAAGCTTTATGTGTATATATTAATCTGCCACCTTTCATTGCAAGTCTATACACTAATTTTTTTCAGTGGTGCTCAACAGAGAAGAGCATTACTATGTTCCTAAAACAGCTGTTATTAATTTTTCCAGCCATAATTCAGTTAGTCATTTTTCTCTTCATTTCTGAGCACCACTGAAAGCAGTAAAGACATGTGGAATTATTAATTTCCTCTTGAGACCTTGCAAGATGTTCTGCTAGGTAGACTCTGAGATTCTAATCATTAAGCTATTTTCATGAGTGCATAAAATAAAATAGCCAAATAAACTTGGTGGAGGTTACAATTGATTCAATACAAAGGCCCTAAACTAGAAATTGTTTTGCCTTTTCACATCCACTCTTGTCTCATGAACATTTCCAGATCTTCCTTTGACATTAACTGTTACAGTGAATGCATGGGGCTTCAGCGTTTTAGATCTCCACTGGCTATTCATAAAAAAATTCATGACCTAAATAATTTTAACTTAATGAATTTTTTACTGTTCTCAAAGGAAGAAGATAAAAATAAATTCTGTTACATAGAATTGGAGTGAGTCTGTTGCCAGAAGCTGGCTGAGCCCTGGACCACCATCAGTGCTGAACAGGGCTAACCACAACATCTGCACAACCATCCACAATAAACCCACTGAGAGTGGTGCCTTGAGAAGGCTGACCTAGAACAGAGGCTAGACAGAGTTAAGAATAAAGTAGGTATTTATTGAAAGGCCTTAAAGGATATACCTTGGGCAGTGCAAGAGCCTGTCCGGGGCTACACCCAAGATGGACCTAAAAATAGCCACAAAATGGTCACGAGGTCTCACATTTTTATAAGTTTTGGTCCATCTGCATATCAGGGTTAATTGTCTAATCACTGTTTCAGGTTATGAAGTCCCATCCTTCTTGTTTTCTCTCTTCAGTCCACCGTTGTTTATGCTTTTGGGTCTGAAACTTGTAACAACTGTCCTTGGTATCAAGCTAGAAAAGGAATTGTTTTATCTACCTCCCCTGTGAAGAGAGCTCACTAACAGTTAATAAGAAGCTCAAAGCTAGTCAACACAGAATATGAGAAATATGAAAGCTAAAACTTAAGGCATCAAAAGCACAGCATTTAGAGAGCAGCAGAAGGATGAAAAGTCAGAGAGTTTATGAACTGGGTACTGAGGAACAGCTAGAGGTGCCCAATCCAGCTCTAGCTTTGTCAGTGGTGTGGAGCTTTCTCTCAGACTGTGCTTTCCAAGATAAACACCCCACACTAGCAAGGAATCTGTCAGCTTCCTAGTATGCCAGTACACTCCATCCTTGCTACTCCACTGTCAGCACTGAGAGTCCAAACCTATACTGAAACATGTACTTTTCTTGATAGCCTTCTAAAATTTGTTCAAGGTACACAGTCTAGAAAAAGGCAAGGAATAATTTGAAAGGGACAAATCTGAATGAAATTTCTAGAACATTTCCTTCAGGAAAATACAAATCATCTGGTCCTTGGTTTTCCTCATCACCTTATTCCAACACTTTCCTGAGTTTTTGTACACTTTCCAAGGTATTCAACAGTTTCATAATAAGGGGTTTACAAGCTTTCCTTCTAATCAGGGTTGATGCTGACACATTTTGTTTAAAGCAGATTATAAACAGAGAGTAGCAACATCAGTTTCTACTGTGCTGAGAAGAAAGGGTTCCAGGCATGCAAGAAGAACTGTATCTGCTGGTAAAATTCACCCTTTTCCTGGTAAGTAATATAAAAGTAAAACAAAATTTAACAAATCTTGAGGCCTGAGGAGGTCAAGAAAGATCTTTTAAGATTTTCCTCCCAAGAGATGCTTCAGGTTTGTTTCAGAGTTACCATGGTCCTACAGAGTTACCTTGGCCAGATTCAATCTGGCTTATGTTAAGGAAACACATTTTTATTATAAAGAAATAAGTATGACAATAAAACTATATGAAGACTTATATCATGTGGGAATGCTTCTCCCGGTCTTCCCAGTGTGTTGCATTAATGACTTTGAATTTTTTAATTTTTGGTCATGTTGTGTGCCAGTTTTGAGGTTTGGCAGCTGAATGCTTTGTGTGTGTACGAAAAGTATACAGAAATGCACACATGTGTATGTATGCTCTATATGTTTGTGACTCTTGATAAAATTTGCTACCAAAGCTTGGAATGAATGACTGTAGCAGGACTCAATAAATGGTTTTGCTGGCCCTTCATAGCCTATTTCTAGAATCAAATTCCCACAAAATGCAATTTTTGAGTTTCAGATAGGTAAAAAATTGTGGCCTTTGACAAGTGTAGTATGTTTAGCTCAGATAAATTAAACCGTGTGGCTAAACTCAATGTTTGGATTCTAGAAAACTGGACTTGGCAACAAATATCTGTGTGAGGGAAAATTACCTGTTGTTGCTTGAGTGTTACTGACATTGCTCAAAGAGTGAAATGTTTTAATAAATTTCATGGATTTGGGTTTTGTGAAGGGAACTATATCTTTAAAAAAATTAACAGGAACATACAGAATAGTAGCTCTGAATGGCAAACTAAACTCCCTTCAAGACAAGAAAAATACAAAGCTAGCAAATGAAAAAAATGGTTTTAAATCTGACTAGCCTAAGTACTAGGCTTTTTGTTTTGTAAGTTCTTCAGGAGTAAGAAAAGACTCAATAATTTATGTCTGCAACTCAGTATTTCATGGCATTTCAATTTTACCTAGAAGAAAGTGAATAGCTTCTTGTCTGTCTGAACTCTCCTGTGGGTAAAATTTATGCTTCTTGCTCTTAAAGCACTGGCTATCTCTGAGATATATTTATGAGCTCATTATTTTCATTCTGTAGGAAAGGAATTACTTTTCTGACATCTATTGTCTTGACTAGCTTCACTAATATCATACCTGTTTTATCACGTGTTCAGAATGACATTTTTAATGTTGTGTATCTAAGGCATTCTCGATGAGGGTGTCTTATGGAAATTCAAATCTGGTTTTACTAGATTTTACTGAAGATAATAGGAATCCGTTATTGGTCTGTCATTCTCTTTTAAGTGCCTCCTCACTACAATTGATCCATGTAACCCAGAAAGATGCTTAGTTGCATGAACTGCTATAATGGGATTTGTTTTAATATAAAATTCCTTGGTTTCACACACCATAATTTCAGTCAATACAATCAATTTCACAGTTTATACCAATATAATTTAAAATGGAATCAAATGCATATGAAGAGTTTATTCTTTCCACAGTTGCTAAACTTAGCATTTGCTACCATGATAATGGATTATAAATAGCTACAGATGACTTTGTTGACAGCTCTTGACAATATTTTCCCTATAATTAGAGCACAGCTTGCAATCTTGAAAAAAAACCCATTGAGATCCACTGAAGACAATACAATTGCCCGGGAAACACAGTAATGAGTACTTGAGAGGATGTGACAGTATGTCATATAGATGAAAAGATGTATAGGTACTACTAAAAGGTTATTTGAGGTTAAGAAATTATATTCTTATTTTAAGAATAGAAGAAGGAAGAGGGAAGCTTATACTTTGAGAATGGGAGTGAATTCTTAGGAAGCTTCTTAGGAAACTCAGTAAATTACTAGCTTAATGTCAGTGTGGTCCTACAAAAAGGTAATTTACAGCATGGATTTTAGTTTTGTGAAACTGTTAGTAGCTTTATATCCATGAATGACTGTCATAAAATCCAGTGACTGGAGGATAGGGGGGAAAATGTATAGAATGTTCTCTAGGGAAAGATTAAATTTACAACCTTCCAAATTCACAGTACTGCAAAGGATTAAGCACATATAGTGAGGGGAGGGGACCTTTATAGCATTCTGGTCATAAATGATGACTAAACATTGTCTGGGCTGTTAAGCTAAAAAAAAAATGCACTAGGCCATGGGATGTACAAAGCACATTTTCTGGACTTGAGAGCTAGTCCTGCCATTGCATTTATATATAATAACTGTCCCTTGAATGGTATGAACTGGCAAAAAAGAGTTGCCCTTAAATGCATCCACAACTCAAGGGAAAGAAGAGAGGGTACTCTTTTTTTAGTGCAAGAAATAAATATTTAAGTGGCTGATCTGTATTTCCAGACACAGAGCATTTTCATCAAATAGAACTTAATAGTAAGAACACATGGAAAATAACCCATTGAAGCCACTTCCTTGCTTTTCCTTGCTCTGTTTACTACAGAGAAACTTAGTCAGATTCCCACATAAGAGAATTTTATTGCAAGAATTTCTTTGAAGAGCTTTCTTAAATTGTAGAGGCAGTAGAAGAGGTTTTAGAACAGCTTAATAAATTAATAAAGGCAATAAGAAGGACTATAATGTATTCCCCACAGAGTTTTAAAAGAACTAAGATACAAACTGCCGAATTGTCATTTGCAGCTTACTGCTTAAATCAGTCTCCAATGCAGATAAAGAGAAGAAAGTTATACTTACCCTGCTGTTATTCCTCTTGTTAGCCCATTTTCCCTAAACCACTTCGGTACCTCTTCCATTACTAGTAACTGACTAAGTGAAGTTATTCTCATGTAGCTGTATCCTAAAAAAAGGATGATCCTGGGCACATGGCACAAAATTACTTGTTGGGAGCAGGCCAGTATGTGTGAACTGTAGGCTACATTATTTAAAAAAAAAATAAAATAAGCTGTAGAAGAATGAGATTGCATAAATCAGGGCATTTAATACCTAAACTGCCTAGTAGGGTCTGGAAGATTCATTAATATAATTAGATTAGTTATACTTAAGTGGGAATTTATATTACCAGAATCTTATCACTATAAATTCCCATTTTGACTTTCTTTTCCTATAAGAAAGTAAGAATGTCATTCCTTGTTTATTTTTATTCTATTTTGAATGTGGCATAAGATGTGATTGAAAAAAAGGCTTGCTCTCATTTCTGTGCTAGAACTGACCAATGCAGACAGGGAATCATACTGTTAAAATAATCGTGTTATTACTCTGCTATCTTTGTGGGCAGCCTTACTTCAAGCATAGTACCTTGTTCTACATTGCTCAAACAGTATACTCATTTTCAGTGATACTCCATTGCCTCATGGAGTTACAGTTTGGCTCATTACATTTTAGGATACAAATACAAGATTCCTGGACGCACTTGTCTGGCTCACAGTAATACAAAGTTAATTCTGATGGATGGTATTTTTATAACTCATCCTGAAAGAAGAACATTGCAAGTTCAAGTTCAAGTTCAAGATTCGGAGAGTAAAACCTCAGGCTTCCTGGCCTGCAGTTGTTTCCCAGACTGCTTAGGGTTTTTGACATTCATAGCATTTGATATAAGTGGGCTTGACAGCTGTAATTTTGACAGAAGAAACAACAAGACAAATTTCCTCTCATTTGAAATCCTGTATTGTTTTCTGTGCTATCCTATTAAAATAATAGTTCCTTTCTTACAAGATTAGAAGAAATAGGGGAAATTCTGCCATCTCTCTGATGTGTTGCCACAGCTTCAGGTTATTTGACACGTTGGAAATAGAAGCAAATGCTGGCTCAGTAGTGTTGGGGCTGACATCCCAGTGAGTTCAGACTTACTCCTCCTTGTATTCTGCAATACATTTCCTTTTTAGCAAAGAGAACAGGCAATACACATCTACAGCAGCAAATAGATGCAAAGCCAAGATAAGAGAAATTTGTTAAATCTTGGCTAACTGAAACATCACCTTTTTCGTGGTCCCTTAGTTGCTGACATAGCTGAATGACTATCCCTCTGCAACTCATATGAATAATGCTGGAAAAAGCAAAGTTTCTCATAGTATTCAATATTTAACACAGACTTAAAAGCTTCTGAAATGCAACATATCCAAGAAAATTATCAAGCCTTATTACTTTGGAGCTTTTAAAACCTTTTATTTCAGATAAAAATAAGGATAAAATCTATAGGATGCAAGTAACTTTAGGGAGCTTTTTATAGCCCCCGTATGCTTTCCATAGAGCACTGACACACAAAAGACCTTTTCTCTACTCAGTTTGCATGCAGGCACTGAAGGGGATATCAGCCTATATTCCCATTCTCTCCAGACTCATCCTGTGGGTGAAGCAAGATCCATTGTTATTTTTTTAAAACTACCCCGGTCTTATTTTGACTTTGCTTTTTATATTCAGCTGCTTGAGTGCCAAGATCCAAACTCTACTTTTTAATTGCATTTGTAAAGAGAGAAGCCCAAATGATGTAGTCAGTGGAGAATGAACATAGCTAGATATAAGTGGCACAGTTTACTCTCTTGCTGACAGCTCAGTAGAAACCCATTTGTAGGTTTACAGAAGTAATGGATAGTCAGGGACAGGATGGACCTGGAGTCAAAATATTATTTGTGTTCTTTGAAAAATGCACTGGATAAGCAATTCTGTGTGCATTTGCCTGACAGTGCCGTCTCTGCAATTTCTTATCTGTATTTCACTGAGATACTGTATCAGGATCTGTGTGCTAAAGGCATCACCTCACCCCATCCTGCTTCTGAGGTATATGCTATCATCTTGTTGACAACTGGCTACCCAGTAGCTCTGTGTGTATGACAAGTGAGCTGAGGCCACACCTTCTGTACCTGTGGCAATCTCTGCAGCCCTTATGTGAAAATGAATTCACACTAAATCTCCATCATTTCTGCTTACCTGGCCGAATGTAGGGGCTTGTATTTTGGGGGACTCTGACATAACCTCAAATTTGCATGCTTTTGGATTTTCATTACAATTTATTCACAAATCTATTTCACACAAATTTATTTGCCTACCTTCAAGCTGCTTCCCAGGTAGACTTAAAATCAGCACATTGTAGTCCTACTAGTATAAAGAGGAAGTTAAATACAAAACATGGTTAGTACTTTCAGTACGGTTCATCTCTGTCTTGTGTTCAGATAGGTCTCAATTATTTTCAGACTTGCATATGCAAGTCCAACAGTCTGCAGATATATTTGCTGTTAATAATATGGTTAAAAATTATTTTAACTTTCAGTAGTAAAAACCAGCAAACAACAGATTCCACTTCCTGCGCAGACCACAAAGATACTGCCTGTAATTCCTGAGCAAGAGCATTGTCATGTGGATCAGCTGTAGAAGGTAAGTAAACATCTTTCAACTCTGATTATCCAGGTTTGACTCATATATTTAGAATTAATAGTGTGGATATCTGCACAAAATAAATTATTACTTCTAGCCAAGTATATGAGATGAAAAACTGGATAATGTATTTGTGAGAGCTAGGTGGCATGAAAAGAGAATCAATTTTACTTCTGCTGTCAAAAGTGATCTATAATCATATGTGTTAGCCTGTGTGTCCCTGCAGACCTTGGTGCAAATTCTGACACCTTTTTTCTGGTGTAAAATATTGTGTCCTAGACTTCAGCATTGTGCTGACATTTGTTTCTGACAAGGGCAGAGGAAAAAAGCAATATGCAAATGATCTCTGAAGAAAATTCCATATTTGAAATAATTAGCTTCTTTATGAAATTCCTGAAGCAAAAGCAATTGATTGCTCTGTTGTTCTTACACCAGTCAGAAGGAATGACAAGAAGCTGGTTTTTGTTCAGAACTAAAACTAATTGCCCAGTCCTAGCTTTCCACAGCCACTGTGCTGCAGTAGCTGTTCCAGGAATTCCAGATGTAAGGAAAGAAATCTTCATAGAAATGTGCAGTAAGAGATACCCCTTCCTGAAAATACTTTTAATGCTTAGAAAAAGAACAGATGCTACTTGGATAAGTAATACAGACTAATATTTCAAATGCATAGACCAGGTGATGGCTACTTGCATGCATGATATTATTGTGTATGGTGATTTTTTTTTTTAGGTCAAAAGCTTAAGGAGGTCCTTCCTTTTTATTTCTATTTAAATTTGATGGAGTTTTATTGGAAACTCAATATCATGTCATGCTATCTTTTTATAGTGTTAAAAAAATTTATGTACTGAAGAGCAGTTTGATTTTTGTGCTTCACGTGGAACTGTGAAGATGAAATTGTACATTGAGAACAGAACTAAAGAAAAAATTTTGAATAGCTTTGCTAACAGAAGATGAGGTAATTCTATAGTAAATTAATAACTGAGCTAGATAATTTTTTGGAGTTTGAATGAGACTAGTTGGGTTATAGGATGGTATATTATAGTTATTAAAAAACTGACCCCTGTTTAAGTGATTGTCATCCATAGATCTTGTGAAGACTTAACAAAGATGAAAGTTGTTATTATTACTATTTTAAAATGAGGATATCAAGAGACACAAAGGGGTAACATGACTTGGGAACTCTGTGACATAACTGAGAGCAGTTCTCAGATTACCTGAGTTCAGCTGTTTGCCATTTGGACACAGTTTCTGACTGAGCTGGTGTTTTCCAGGCCCCATTAGCCTTTCTGTAGGGCAGCTTCTTCCTTTTCTGCAGGGATTCCTCCAAGACACTTCAGTACTACACCATTTTTATGAAATCTGTCAACTGTCTCTGAGTCAAACCTTTATCTTCCCATTTCCATGTCTGTCAGGTACCCACCCAACTTAATTGCTTTTTTTACTCTTGGGTTAAAAATAAGACATTTCTAAGTTTGAAATAGGATGTGCTGCTAAGCAGGTGCTCACCTATATGCAGTGCCTTCACTTATACAGTATTACAGCTGATCATTAGCATGCTTTGTTAATTCTGTTCTTCTTCCAGAATGTTCCATCCACCTAAAATCCATCTTTTAGAAGCAGGGGGAAAAAGTCATGGCTCATTCCCATAGAAATTCAACTTTTGTGTTGCTAGAGGTGGGAGTGACTGTTGGGGCAACCTTTTGCTTTTATTATCTTAACCACTGGGAACTAAAGGATAGAAAGAAGAGATGGAATAGCTTTTCAGATTTTTAGTTGCTCTGTGAGACAATATATGAGATCCAGGACACTTTGGGATTAATTATTCCCTTTCCTTAATCTCTGTGTGAATGACTGAAAGAAAAAGATTAGGTATCTTGAGGAAACCCCAAATACTTGCTCAGTGCTGTACAGAAGCAGGCTTGCTTTCCCAGACAGTCTTTCTGTCAGAGGGACACCTGGCAGTGAGGTGAAATTCAGATGAGATATGTGGGAATAATGCTGAATACATTGTAAATTGTAATGTTACATGACATTGTGTGGAAATATTATTAAAGGATGTGTCTGCAGAAACTTAGATCTAGATCTTGCCTTTCATCATATTTTGTTTTGAATACATTGCTTAAAGGAATACTGTCTCAGAGCTAAATACTCTGTGAAAATAATAAAAAGCACTTTCTGCTTTAGTTTTGCTTTACTTCCTGCAAAAATCCCCCTTCTTCTCTGTTCATCTGATAAGGTCAGATCCGGGTCATTACTGCTTGTGTTTGTGGGTGCCTCAGTTCCAGGAAAGCTTACTAGTTATGAGTGCTCGTGGTATTGAGGCTGGGGAAGGAAATTGCAAACTGTTTTTTGCACGAGTGCTGGGTTTGTCTCTGTGAAGTCTCTAGAATGCTGCTAAAGTTTGTTTGCTCAACAGGGAGAATCTGTGTTACAAGTACTGCACCTGAAATGAAAGCTGAGTACAGAGGCTGAAAAAATGCAAAAAAAATCAAATTCCAAGAACTGCCAAAGACAGTCCTAGCCTACATCAGCTTGATAAAGTGTGGGTTTTTCTCTGAAAGAGGAGGTGGGATGGAGATGAGAAGTATGTACCAGGGAGCTTCTTGATCAAACCCATCATCTTTGTATCACTGACAGCTGCTCCCCTGAAGCATGTGCATTTCAGACCACTGAAACGAGCCTCAGATAAGGAAGGGTTCTAGGCAGAGCTAGAAACCTGAGAGAGCTCCACTGGGGATACTGCTAATGTCTGCCCTTCCCTGCCTCAAAACTAGCTTCTGTCTGGTTGGTGAGAGTTACCTCAATGCCTGCCCTGAATCAGACAGGCAAGATGAGTTATGCTTTTCCTCATCTTCAGCCAGCTGGAGCTGCACTCAGAGAAATCATTAAGTGTTTGATTTCTCTGTCAGGAGACTACCTACACAGCAGCTGTGGTAGGTGTAACAGCAGTTGTGAGGAGGAGGAAATGTAAAAGCAAGGATCACTCTGATCACGATCATTATAGCTAATGAGCTGGAGAACCTGATGATGGCCTCAGCAGTGGCCCTTAACACAGCACATTTTAAGATGAAAAGCTTAAAAACTTTTTTTTTAGCCAAAGGAATGGTCAGGAGAGACCTATTTGCATATTCTTTGCTTATTGCTCCAGTCTGCAAAAGTGAGGTATTGCTTTTACTAGTAGATTGAGAGAGATATCAATACACATCCATAGAGAGATATCAATTACACATCACAATTTTCCTGGTTTTCTTTTTATGTCAAGAAAAAGACATTTCTTTCTATAAATGTATTTTAAAAGTCTTTAGACTTAAGACAACACTGTTGATTATAAAATGTAAATATATTGATAAACATATGACTGTATCTGTGTTGCCATGTTTATCAATATACTTAGATCGAATTGTGCAGTATATCTCTATCTGTATGTGCACACAGAAATGCACCCAAATGCTTTGTTATTCACTATTGCACTGACAGCTAATTCAGCTAATAAAAAATGCACCAACTTCTGCACTTGTGCCTTTGCCAAAGGTGAATCTTTTCAGCATAGATCACTTAAAGTCAATGTGTATTTTCATGGTAACCATTAAAACTACACTTGAGTACCAAAGGTAAGAATCCTCTGTTTCTGCCATCTTTTATTAAACTAGTACTACATTAGCAACTGTCCTAGAAAAAAGTAAATGAGCCATGTCCCTCAAGAGTTGAAATGCACTTTACATGTGTCATGGCTTAGGAATGGTATTTTCCAATTCAGTAGTCCTGCTAAAACCACACTGCAGCTTACTTCCTCTCCCCTCCAACTGGAAGCACAAAAGGCAAAGATCATGGCTTGAGATAAGCACAATTCACTGGAAACAGCAATGAGATAAGAACACAATAACAAAAGGCAATACATGGAAAGCCTGGGACATTACTGACTGGCTCTTCCCCGCTTTTCTCCCCACTGAAAGGAATACCCTTCTCCCTGGAAGGAGAATCCCTCATCCCTGCTCCTGGCAGTGAATAAGGTGGTGTAGAATAATCTCCTAGCCATGCCCACACAGCTCCAGGCTAATGCATTCACAGCTACTGCAAAATATTAACTCTGTCCTGGCCAGAACCAGGACAACATATGACAGCTGTCAATGTATTTCCTTAGGCTGTGACATTAACTACCCTAATTTTATTTAGATTGGAAGCATGAACATTTTATTCAGGGCATACATTTGCATTCAGAGCCAATGCTGTTCAGTAAGAGCATGCTAGAAAAAGGCTCTGGGGACATGACTTATCTGTCTCTCCTAATGACACCACTTTACTAATTTGCATGGTGGTAAGAAAGAACTGTTTATCCTCAGCTAAAACAGAGATTGCATAGTGCTTTTAACAAAGCTTTACTTGCATCAACTGGCAATTTTAAGAACACTACTTGCATAAACTATTATTTTCAGCAGCTGTAAAATGCTGTGTGATGTATCTAGTGTGAGAAACCATGAGGACTAACACTTCTGAATGTGCTTGATTCAATGGCTATTCCCTAAACACTGGGGGCAAAGAATAATTGAAGGAAGAAATTAAAGAGGGGGAGTAAGAGCCAAATCACCATACACAAATGTAAGATGAAGGTATTGGAGCATTCAGAAACATGGTTTTGTTGATGGTTATCCCTGAAATCATTGTTGGGTAGGGAAGGTTTTGGCTAAACTTTCCCTTGGAGGCTAAAGAAGCCTGTCTCAAAGAGTGACTTTCTGTGTCCTGCCCTTGTGGCAATCTTTCTGTCCCTGGGGTGGGGCCACGTGGAGTCTGGGCAGACTGACAGTGCAGTTCTCACTGGCCTCTCTCACACCAAAGCTGCACTTCAGTCTTAGAGTGGTTAGGGCAGAATAAAAGTCATGTGTTTGTAGCATGAAGAGAAAGTGTGAGCCCTCTCCTGTAGTGCCACTGTCCTCTGCCTGTGTTCTCTGAATCAAAGGCAGCATTAATAGATACAATGAATGACTAGGGACAGAACAGTGTTCTATTTGGGGAAATTAGAGACAGATAGAGACCTGACAGCTCTTGGATGAAGTGCTGCCATTTCTGGAGGGAGGGAGGGAGAGGGAGAGGGAGAGGGAGAGGGAG